TTTTTTTTTTTCTTTTTGTTTCATCCGCTTCCATTCAGATCCCGCCCTGTTCTGTGAAAAGCATTTCCTCTCTTGTATCTCGCCTTGTCTGTCATATGACAACGAATATTAGAATACAAAGCATATATACGGAGTAATTTTATATAATATTATTAACGTTATAATAATAAAATAATGTCGCTAAAGAAATAATATTTATATCAACAGACGCGCGCGCGTGACAATCTGGAAAATTGTGATACGACCGTAAAAATGGCCCAAATGTAATTTTTCCCTTTTGTCCATTGTTGCATTCAACGGCAATGCGTCCTAAACCTTATCCTATGCCTAATTGCGCAACACACTGCGAATTTACACACGCGACATTATCTCCTTCGCACTCGCTTATAAAACTCGGCATGATTCAGGCGTTGCATCATGAATGAAATCGCGGACTATGGTCCACTAGAAGCGAGGGATGTATCGTGAATAATTCATGACATCGGATAAAAACATAAGCGGCGAAAGACAAGCGGTCGCAATACTTTTTCAGCGGCTTTTGCGAAAGAGTTTGCCAAATCGCGTCGATTCTATCGTCATCGTTGATTTCTTCGGAACTGACTATATGTCGGATGAATTCGAAAGTTTGCGAAATAAAGCGTCGCTATTGCTATCGAAAAAGAGCCCTCCTCCACCTCTATCCACCTTCGTCGTCTAAGAGTGAAGTTTACGACGCCGGTCTCGAAATCTAATCGCGGCGGGCAGCGCGCGTAAAACTTATTCCTCGCTCCTCGTTATCGGACGGTCAGCGGAAATGACATTTTTCGCCGAAACGCTACAAAAGCCCGGGCATCCGATAGCCACCCTCGGGCCGGCGGGGCCGCGAAAGAAAATTATGTCGAAACTGGAGCCGTAACATTAGGAGCATTGTATTGTTGCGCGAGGCTACGGCTCTCCGGGGAGTAGGTTGGAAGGTCCTTTTCCGACTCACGTTCTCTCCTCCTCGCGCACACGTACACGGAGACGCGAGAACACACAGACGCGGAAATACAGACGGAGCGGGACATACCCTCAGGTGGTGCTTGGGACCGGCAAATGAATCGTTTAATTGAATTAGTCGATGAGCCCGCGTTACGACGCGCATTATAATTTCTACGGTTGCCAATACCGTTCTCACTTCCCGTTCCTCCTGTCGCTGAGAAATCATATTCAGGAAAACTCGGAGACCATCATCGTCGGGGAATTTTCCCATAATACTACTTGTAGCGCTAAAAAAAAAAACGCTTTGTGTGAAATGACAATCTTCGTAAAAGATAAATATTTAATCTTTTGCAATAATCATTTTTCTGACTTTACTTTTGTATTGTGTGGGAAATAAAATCATGATTTAAAGAGATCTGAAAGAGATAGATACAAATAATATTGATATTGCAAGTTATCTTTATTAACTGCAAGGTGTAGTAAATATATCGTAAGAAATTGACATTTTTCATACATTTTTTAGAGAAATTCATTGTCATTTATTGAAGTCATATATTATACTGATTGAGGTGTTCCTTCCGTAAAGTTTTATTTTTACAGGATATCTATTCTCTGGAAAAACACGAAAAATATGGAATTATCAGGGATTTCTTTTATACTTGGGAAAATCAGGGAATTGTCATGGAATTTTAATAGGACTTAGGAAATTTTTAAAAAAATTCTTTCTTTGATAATTTTGCTCCTATATTGTAAGCAGTCGGCAAGTTAAGTGAATTATGTGTTTGAAATATATTATAAATATATATCTATCTCTGTTTATACATATTCAATGTCTTAACAAAATATTGAATATATGCAATATTCTTTATTGAAATTTTTAATGATAAAAAAATGAAGATGTTATGCAAGTGAAAAATATTTATCTTACACAAGCTGTTTAGTTTTTTTCAGTACATTTGCAAATCTAGTACTTAAAACTTAAATCATTCTGAGTTTCTCTTTCGTATGAGTGTGAAAAACATTAGAAAAACTTATTTTAGAAAGTCGCATCAAAAAAATCTTTAAAATATTCTCTTTACTTGTACTTTTGTATGAAAGTACCTGGAAAAACAGGGAATGCTTTTACAAGAAAACAGGAATTTTTTTACAAGATTTGAATAGATATCCTCTGTTATATTAAAGGAATATAAGTAAGAGATAATGCTAAGCGATCTGCCGCACATGTATCGAGTTCGCGAGAGCTTTCCATCGGCACGAATTCCATCGACATAGGGAAACGATGTTATCCGCACGGTAATCTGGCCGATTATTACGCGCAGCTGCCATTTCTCGTACCTCGAGTGGTGGTGGCGACTCGACGATTCGAATCCGCGAAGAACGAAGAAACGGAGGGTTGTCGCGGATATCCGAGGGGCGAGAGCTCGTCATAGCTCTCTGCTGAATTATTGATGGGCAGCACTTTGAGAGAAGGCGAGAGGACGCTACGTTAGCGGCGTTCTCGGTGGCCTTTTTTCGAGGATCGCTAAGGATATACCCGGCGATGGTTGCGTCGAGAGGGACCACTATCTCCGGTCCCGCGGGACTTTCGGGACTCGCGAGCCCTCGCCGCCGCCACCGCTGCCGCCCAATTCCAACCAATTTGACCGAAAGTTGGGCGTAATTTTATTTTCACACGTCTGCAGACGCTTTACCTCGCGAGCCTGGCCGAACGGACGAGGGTGGCCGTGTGTTTAGGTTTAGCTTTTCCAAGTTCCGTTCCTCTTGGGGGATAGATTCGACGCGGTCAAAGAAAGCTGCCGCCCTTCGTTTCTTGTATTCTTTATCTTTGCCAATCATCGACGGAGAGATGTTCGGCTTTTAATCATCTCGTCGATTTGGCCCGCGTTTCCGTGACGGACAGCGGTGTATTTTTATTTGAGAAAAAGCATCTAATTTTTTTTTGGATCAAGTATATATTATATTAATATTAAGAGTGTGTGTGCATTTGATGCAGCCGAAACAAGTGATCGCGGTATCACAAATAAGAGGAAAGCCCGAATGCAAAGTGTACAATACAGTCTATCATTCGTTGAGAACACGGCCACGGAAAAGGGAAGAATCTGTCATTATCCCTTTGGGACGAAAACGAAAGTCTGTCTGTAAACGAAACTTTACCGAGGGCAGAGGGATCGAGTGTCGCGGAATGCCTGTGAAATACCGAAACAAGATTCTGTGACACAGTGTGGCAGCTTATACTATATCGAGGGGGGATGCTCTCTCCTTCTCTCCCCTCCTTTTCCTTCCGTTTTTACGACTTCCGATCCCTGTTCGCAGCCGAGAATGGTCATAATGGGTTACCATCGTGTTGGCACATCTCGCGCGAGGGAGAGACAAGCTCGGGTAGGTAGGTAGGGAAACCGATGTTTTACAGTCGTTAAACGCAATAGCGAACGAATAAAAATCCCATCGCGTTTCGAATCATTTCGGCTCCGGACCACGACACGAACGCTTCCGCCAAGCCTCCGGTCCCCATCGGAGAACTACGGAAGTTAGTTAATGGGCTAAACTCTTAACTCTGATGCCTTCCTGGGGACAGATTTCGCGCGCGGTTGCCCATTTTTCGGTTTACCGGTGTGCTCTCGCGAACAAAAAGAGTTAATCGCCGTTTGAAATGAGAAAAACAAAGCGCTTGAATCTCGCATTCGCAAAATACACATAAATAACAATGAAAAAAAATATTGTTATCACAATTTAATAAAATCTTTGCGCACATTCTGGGGAGAAGCGTTTAACGCGGATCCATTCGCGCGGCATATAAGATAAGAGCGTACGCTAAAGGTTAATGACCAAGCGTTACCAAGAAGTGCACACAGATTTCGTGCAAACTCCGACCGTTTCATTGGCCGGTGGTTTACAGTTTTAAATGTAAAACCAGTACCGAGGGGCCGGTCCACCGGGGCGTGGTTACGACGTTACGTCGATGTACTCTCTCGCAGATACATTCGCCGGCTTGTCAGTAAACACGAGCTTCATAGCGCTTTTGAATAATGTATGCCGGTAGCACACCACGACACACACTATCGCCACGCCTCTTCACCTTTATACCTATTTGCGCGACCGCATAATTTCAGCTTCGCCACCGTATATACGCTGTACGCATTTGCGCGAAATAACTCCCACCCCCCAATACACTTCGCCATTAAGGGAGACACGTCGCGATACGACACGCGCGCAAAGATCCCTTAAAAGGAACGCGGCACACACAGAAAGTATGAAGCGAATTTGCGGGCCGATCGCCGTCTTTCTCTCTATGACCAATTTATCACCCCGAATCCATAAGCGTCGGAATATTTATCGAACCGTTAACGCTTTAATCGATAGTCCCGAGTCGAATGAAAACAGCTGAGCTATACCGTAGAGCTCACAACTCTTTCGTGCTAGCAATTCTAATCGAGGATCAAGCATTCGTTTATATTCGGAATTATTTTTCTCTCTGGGGACTACTCTGTATGCTCACATGGCGAATCGCCATTCACATATGATAACGTTTAATTTTATAATCCGTCGAAGAAATGCATTATTTCGCCGCCTGTAACCGCTGTGCGTGTGTGTTTGAATTACAGCATCTTGGAGTTGCGCAAGGAGAAGAGCCGGGACGCGGCGAGGTCGCGACGGGGTAAAGAGAACTTTGAGTTCTACGAGCTCGCGAAAATGCTTCCTCTACCGGCGGCCATTACCTCCCAGCTGGATAAAGCCTCCATAATAAGACTAACGATCTCGTATCTCAAACTCCGCGATTTCTCCAGTCACGGCGATCCGCCGTGGTCCCGCGACGGTCCACCGCCCAGCAAATCTGTCAAAGGTAAGATAAAGTACGAGTCGCGATTCGCGCACATTTACATTATTTATCGACGAGAAAAACCATGGATCCTGATCCCTGTCTTTTGAATTTGAATTTGAATTTGCGATCGAATTAATATTCATATATAATTAAATAATATATAATACGAGAAAGATTCTTCTCTTATTCTTATTTCTGTCATCTATCTATTTAAGCGCGATAGAATATCGCAATCTCGAGCGGGAAACATTTTGTTTTAATTTATTACGATAGACATATGTATAATCCGAGTAGTCGGCTCGATGAAGATATATCTGCCGATGATGTCTCTTGATGGATCAGCGTTTAACCTCCGAAAAGGGGGAGTCATCCAGACTGTTAATAGGGGGGATCAGGACCCATATTCCGTGAACCTAACTTTCTCTCCAGGGATAAGAATAAGAGAGGAAGTCAGGCGCGTTATAATTCCTTTACGCTCGCGTCGTCTGCAGTGGAGTAGATTGGTATTGCGGCGGACACGCGCGAAATGTATCGTCACACAATATTTTATCGTACGAGTAATACATGTATACTTGACATTTCTCGACACATATATTTTGTATATTGATAATTTAATATGTTACACAAATTAAATATATATATAAGTTGGAGAAGAAATAAAAGTAGAAGCAAAAATAAGGGAAGCAACCGCGTTATAATCGCGTCAAAGCCAGCGAATACTCGATCTGTCTCCGAACGGTCTCTTTTTGACAGACACGTGTCTCTTCTATTGTCAGACAGAATCGACGCGTCCTGTCTCGCGTGCCATCATTCGATTTATACGAATGTGCCTTGGATGAGAAGAATTTTTTTCGCCTATCTCGTCTTTATATTGCGTCTTTCGCAACTATATTGAAATACTTTGATAGTAACATGAAACGAGAACTATTAGGATTATATCGAACGAAATTGGACAATTGCTTTCTTAAGGAAGCATGCGCAGGCTCGCCGACGATAGATCGAGCTTTCGAGATATCCTTTATAATTCCAGTGACCATGCAGCCGGGCGAGAGATTTCTAGAGATACATAGTAATAGAGAATTGTCGGCAATCATCGAGCGATAAGATCGCCGCGAGCCTCTTTCATTTTCGTGCTTCATTTGGCGAAAAGGGAGTAGAGCTACTGGCTTATTTTAGTGCACTTTCGCTTCGTCGCTCTTTCACAATCTTTTTCTTCATTATTGTAGATATATCGTTACGCTCGCTCTACCATGGCTTTATATATTTCACGGGCTTTATATACGGGTCAAGTAGATTTTTAGGGAAGGAACAGACTTATTATTGATCGAAAATTGCGTAGAATAAATACAGCTTCGTCTACTCGATGCGAGAAAATCTTTTCCCCCCCGCGAAGAGAAATCGTAGACAGCATTGTCGGGAAACCTTACTTCCTCGTAGCTTTATGTATTTCATAGATTTTATATACGGGTCAAGTCGATTTTTAAGAAAGGAACAGACTTATTATTGATTGAAAATCGCATGGATATACAGCCTTGTCTACTCGACGCGAGAAAAATCCTTTCCCCCCGCGAGGAGAAATCGTAAAGACAGCGTTGTCGGGAAACCTTACTTGCTCCATAGCCGCCGCATATTTTCGGAATGCACAAGGGTGGGTGCTGGTTGAGTTAATATTTACAGTGCGGGAGGGTCGCGAAAAACGTTAGAGAGAGGTTCTGCACGTACGCGGGTACGTATATAAAGGCTTAGGTATAGGTGCGTCTCTCTCTCGCGTCTACCACTATCCGCATGAAAATCTAATCACGACAACCCCTGTACGCGCGCAAGGCCTCGCGTTACCAACCGCCAATGTAACTAAACTAACGAAATTGAGTTAGGTGCCGCGCATCGCTGCCGCAACTCCTCGTCAAACTAAATCCAGTGCCGCCCCTCTTCTATTCAGTACGCCGCATGTGTCAGGGCCAGGGTACGAGGCTTCTCGACTTAACCGAGTAAAATGATTCGAGATTTCGAGACCGGTTGATTCGCGAGGTATTCGGCGAGAATAATCGATCGACGGGGGCAATTACGTGATATTTGTCCAGAAATATCGCGCGCGCGGATATTTTTCTAGCTGCCTAGAAGCAAATACGCGCGGTCAAGTTATATTTATCAAAATATTGTGATAAATGGCGGACGCGAGGATTGGCCGAGGTGTTAAATCCACCTTCGACTAAAAGATGGAATACTTTGATAGATCGTGAAAAAAGTATATATTGAATACAATTCCAAATGGATCTTTAAGGATTAAGGGCCCGGTTTACTTTAGCAGTATGAAAAACTGATGATTTTTAAGAATTTTTTTTTTGAAGAATATTAGAAATTGATCTTTTTGGCATTTTACATATATTTTTATCAATGTTTAAAAAGTATACCAGTATTTTTAAATCTTGGATATTTAACTTTTTTTTTGTTCAATATAAGCCTCTGCGCGTAGCGTGTCCAAAATCGACGGTGTGACATGCTGCTCTTCATGTAATTGTCTGAAATGGAAAAAGTCGATCTAATTTTATTCCGTAGGATATTTTTGGGATAAAGAACCTAAATAGAATTTAAAAAATTAATATTTAATATTTTTCTGAAATATCTAATTTTAAAATAACACTACCTTGTTAATATTTTCTAATGAAGGTGCACTATCTCAAAATTATTCTATGGAATAAAACTAGACCAAGTTTTTCTCATTTCAAACGATTATACGAGGAGCAGCATGTTACCCCGTCGAAGCATGCATTTTTGAACACGCTACGTGTAAAAGCTCATATTGAAAAAAAAAAAAATAGATATCCAAGATTTAAAAATCCTGACGATTATTTAAACATCGATAATAACATGTAAAATGTCAAAAAGATTAATTTTAAATATTTTTCAAAGAAAATTCCTTAAAATCATCAATTCTTCATACTGCGAGAGAAAAGACTGGATTCTTAAGTGCGCGAGGATTCGTAAGCGCGTTGACGAAAGGGGCATTATGATTAGGAGAACAAAGGCATTCGTCGAGACGAAATCCAGTTAGATTAGACCCAAAGTCCGGCCTTATATATACGGTAGGAAATATCGGCATTACCTTGTTGACCGAAAACCCGAACTGCTAGGGTCAGCCGGACGAGTCGAGCCATTCCGTCTCTCATCCCGATGGACTTACGAGATTAAGCGGTTCGCGCGCCAAGTTTGATCGAGTCTTCTAAGTCTTTCATTACGGGGCTGCTGGGGAGCGTAGGATTATTATTACGGTAAGAAGTAGCCTGCGTCTTGTTTGTTAAACGAGGGGAGAAAAGAAGGCGCAAAAGGGGTCGAATTCGGCGCGGCGCGTACACCGTGTATGAGTCATGTATCGCTGATCAATCGAGGATACCTTTCTCGATAAGCGTATGCCAGTTGGTCGTAACTGTTCAGCATTGCGTCACCTGACACTTGTCTAAAGAAATTTCAGATCTCCGAGCGACGGTGAATAATATCGAATCAGATTGAACGCGATAATTGTATCGATTAAACATAAAAATTTTATTACACTGTCTGTGAAACGTTGTTGTAAGAAATTCACATTTTAGTTAAAAATGATAGAAAAAGCTACTCGTATATTATATCTATATTATAATATCTTGGACACGGTGTGTCGTGTATTAATAAAATTTTCATTCGCAGGTGCTAACCGAGTCAGATCATCGACAAATGCAGCAATAGATCATTTCGAAATTCATCAAGGTACCCACATATTACAAGTAAGTTTACTTTCTTCACGCCGCAAACGATAAAAGTGATAATGCATTAAATGAATTGGGTATTCTTTTCTATTTCTAAGATTTTTTAATATTCTGTTTTTAAATATCATTACATCGCGGGCTTCTTAAATTCGTAAAATTCTCTAATCAGAATTTCACGAATCTATTGAGTAAATATATCTGAAATGTAGAGAAAAAATATCAGAACCGACACAGAGATCTTCTAAAATCGACATATTTTTATTTGTCATCAATCAAATGTATTTTATCAGAACTGATATGAATTTGCTCCGCGTAATTAATTTATTTACATATCAGAAAATTTTATAGATAGAAGACGCCGTATTTCGTGCTTGTTTATATGCTAATAATAAATCGGATTATCGAGAATTATTGAAATTCACAATTTCTTTTTTTTGGCGAATTACATAATCTAAATAGTGATAATGAAGCATTTTTATTGTCGACAATATTACGTTATTGTACATGGTTCTAAATCTGTTTTATTTCTGTTTTTATACATTTTTCTCCTAATTTTTATTATGTTTTTATAGTTTTCAGCAGGTATATTAATTGTAAGGATCAATTTTGCAAATTTCAATTTTCATGCATTTTAAAAAAGGGCTATTTGTGAAAAACTAATTTTAAAGCGATATTATAAAAACTGATATAATCTGAGAGTGCAGTCTAATAAAATTATGTGAATATAAATTTTTTTTATGTAGGACTTCAAGTCGAAGGCTAAAACCAAAAAACAAAATGTCAGTATTGGTATCTTTTCCCCATTACATTTTCTAATCATAATTATTATATATGAGTTTTATCGGGCACGAATTTAAATATATATATATATCTGAAGCATATATATTAAACATATACAAAATGTAATTCGGAAACGTAAGATTATCGACATTCGGTAGATTATATAAACTATATAAACGTTCGAAAAAACGTCTTCGTATCCGGGAATATTCGATCTGGAGTTCCTCAAGTGTCTCATATTTTCTGTCGCTAGTCCCTGGACGGCTTCGCGATGGCTGTCGCGGCTGATGGCAGATTCCTGTACATATCCGAGACCGTTTCGATATATCTTGGCCTCTCACAGGTAAGCGTGGCTCGTTGTAGCGAGATATCGATGAAGCCGGATGGGGGTGAGACGGGCGGACGCGTGGGTTAGGGGTACGCGGGAGAAAAGTGATAACGATAACGAGAAAGCGAAAGCGAATAAAAAGCAAACGCCAGCGTGTACGAATGCAACGTGTACCATCAGCCGGAAGGCCAGAGATAGTAGAAAGGTATAGAGGTATATGGAGGGGGAGAGGGAAAAAGTTGACGGAAGAGAAGGAGGTTGAAACGTTGAAGTAGTAGTGGTGATGCTGGTGGTGGTGGTGGCGATGGTGGCAGAGGTAGCGAAAGAGAAGGAGGAGGAGGAGGAGGAGGAAAAGTTGATAGCGTTGTAGAGAAGAATAAGGAGGAGAGGTCAAGGGAGGAAAAGAGGAGAAGGTTGTACGAGTTGGCGGCCATACTGGCTGGCACGACGGCGAGCATGACATAGACGGGGAAAAGGGGATGGGTGGATGGCGGCGGGTGGAAGAGGTGGTCGCATGCGGCTCACGTAGTCTCTGCACGGCGGCGTGTTCGCCATTCCTAATGCCGCGAGCGAGATGGTAGACGGGGGGAGGAAAGAGAGTAGAAGCGGCGCGGGGTAGAGCGAGCGAGGTGGTACGGGAGGTAACCGGTGTACTAGCTCTCGGGTTCCTGCGAAGCTCGTGGGGCAATCAATAGGGTGTTTCGGGGATTCGGAAAACCGACGGAAAGCCGACGTTGGCACAAACATGGCTGCCGCGGCCGCGGTCGGCTTCCCCGCGCTTCTTCGCGAGGGGCATCCCCTACGTACCCCCCTGTCTCGGGCGCGACGCCGGAACCGAAATTCTCGTATAGCGAAACGTGTATAAGATTGCCGTCTGGCTGAGGCACGATTTAATCCTGTCTCCGGCAGAGCGTTTATTTCCGAATCACCGAAACGAAAGAAAAAAAAAAAGTCCCCTCATGACGAGAAGAAGACCATTGCTTAATTTCAGGTAGAAATGACGGGGTCAAGCGTTTTCGATTACGTCCATCAGCAAGATCACGCCGAGGTCGCCGAGCAGCTTGGTCTAGGACTCGCGTCGTCGACGAGCACGTCGGGACCGCATTCATCCAACTCTGGTCTAGCCTCGCCAAGTAGCGGCGCGTCGGAAGATCACGGTTCGTCGTCCACCGCAAATCCCGACGGTAACTATCCGCGTCATCGTACAAATGCGCGCATTTTATCAGTAAACACACAATATAATAGATATACGACATAATTATTTCATCTGAAGGCTCAATTCCTTCCTGTATCCTCAGTGTCCTCGGTAATGGCGCTAACGCCGACCGGACTTTACAAGGGGTACGACCGAGCGTTTTGCGTCAGGATGAAATCCACTCTGACGAAGAGGGGGTGTCATTTTAAATCGTCGGGTTATCGGGTAAGTATAAAAAATATATTCGCGCGTAATAAAATTTCAATACATTTGATCGTTTTCACCCATGTGCTTAATTTTAACACGATTTGACGTACGACGGTATACAGTTACTAAAATATATTTTTACACGCGCACGCATATACGCAGGTCGTATTGTTGCTGTGTCGTTTGAGGCCACAGTTCGTATTTAGCCATACGAGAAAGTCCGCGCCACCCTTGATGGGCATGGTCGGGCTTGCCATCGCGCTTCCACCGCCGAGTGTACACGAAATTCGTCTCGAGACCGATATGTTCGTCACACGGATCAGTTTCGACTTTCGGATAGCGCACTGCGAACCAAAGTGAGTACCGTTCTTGCACGATTTAAATATAGATGCAAAGGCTCTCTCCTTCTCGTTTTTTTTTAAACAAATATATAAAAAATATTCTGTACATTTTTGCACATATAAAGAGAGAGAGAGAGAGAGAGAAAGAAAAAAAGAGGAGTAAAACAGATAAGATTATAAATAACGGGGCCGTTTTATAATAGAAGCTTTTGCAATTCGTGTCCTCAGGGTTTCCGAATTGTTGGACTACACGGCCGACGAATTAACGGGGAAGAATCTTTACACGCTGTGTCACGGGGAGGACGCGAATCGTCTGCGAAAGTCTCACATAGATCGTGAGTATATATATATATAGCCATCATGAATTATATATCCGCCGTTATCAATCTTCGCTCGTAATAAAGTCGCTGAGTACCGTTTGCACGATCGCGTAAAATCACACGAGGGGGTCTTTATTCGCGTTCCCTAATGTTTTCTGTGTAATGTTCGAAAGAATGCACCACACGCGTGTGCGTGAATTCCGAATAAAATTCATCCTTCAAACGATAATTGCGTGCATCACGAATGTCAATTATCATCGGCTCACAATCAGTTGTAATCCACAGTCATACTAATATCGTAATGATCATTAAATGTAACTTTTCGTCGGTTTCCTCAACATGTACGACGTGCCTCTTAAGGGCATTTTTTTCTCGCCGATTAGTCTGAATAAAATTAAAATAATACGCTCGAATGAAAATTTCGAAAGAGAGGGAGGATGAGATTCAATAAATAATAAATAAAATAAAATATAAAGATTAAACAAAAGATAGCTAAAAGAAAGAGATAACAACCATAAGATCTTCGACGCAAAATAAGCTGGAAAAATTTGCAAAAAATAGCGAATCGGACAAAGCGTATCGTAACAAAGATACACAAAGGATCGAGAACGTAAATTAAAATTCCGTCGCGCAAGAATCGAGAAATCTCTTTATACTATAACAAACGTAAAAAAAAAAAAAACGTGTGTCAGAGCGCTAATTAAATATAGCAAGTGCAGATTAAATTGTTTTAATTGACCGTAATGAAACAGCTTTTTTCTCTATCACAGCGTAAGGATAAATTCGATTCTATTTTTTTGCTGCGCAGTCTGTACCCGGAAAACGATTAACGAGACTAAAGCCGTAACGTGTTATTCATACACATACGTTTTCAATAAACAAGGTCGATAGATCTGCCACGCAGAATTTCTTGCTCCTATTGTTCTAGGAAAATACTTCGGTGAAAGAGCGCGATGGGGTGTCAAAGCTGTCCGGGAAGAGAGAAAAGCACGAAAGTATTAATACGTTGGTCTTTTCGACTGCGCGCGACCGCTTGCAGATTTAGTAAGTACGTATCTGTTTGTATTTGAACGTTTCACAAATCAGAGATAATAGCCGCGTAGGCGGGGATAATGTTTCTCATTGATGATCATTCGGTAAATAATTCGCGTAAGTAACCGCGCGACTTTTTGTAAAACGTCACATATCGGATATCGCTGTCTCGTTTAATCGATTTCATCTTCGTGACACGATAATGAGATAGTTGTGAAATTTTTTAATATGGGAATATTGGATTTCCTACGAGAAAAGAGTATTCGCGATGTGTATCCTAAAAGTGGCTTTGTCATTTCGATCCTTTGAACAGCGACAAATATTTTTCAACGTAGAAACGAGCGCATTGTCAAAGACAATTATACGGAGAATCGTGGATAATCACAGCTTGTGTCCCAATCAGCTAAACAAAAAAAAAAAGTACCTTTTCTTAACGACGGACTATTTATCTCTTGCGAGATGAAGGCTATAGACGCCGCACACTTCTAAGAAGATTATACAGGGATGGAATCGAACATACACCCCAAATAAACGAATGATTAATCAGTATTCGCAATATATAAAATGCTTACCTTTTTTTCATCGTACAAACGGTAGCTTCGACACTAATTATACATGTACTTTCGAAGAAATATAAAGAAAAGTTTAGAAAAATAAGAGAATTTATTCTATATTCACATGTCTTTTATCAATATATTTCAGTATGATAGATCGCGAAATCTTTAGAAAACATTTAGCTATGATTGATTTTAGTGATCCATAAAGGACAAGTACTAACGCATTACTATCGAATGATGAACAAGAGCGGTGGATACACGTGGTTGCAGACGTGCGCCACCGTCGTGTGTAATTCGTCATAAGGTGAGTTACCAGATAAATCAGTAAGAAATGATGAACTCACTTTAATGTCAAATTTTATCGCACTTGTCTTTCCGATAGCGGCCGAGAATACGAAAACTTAATTATGGACTGCTGTCAATTGGAGGACGGCGTCACCGGCGTGAAGAGGGAAGATACGGCCGGGAATGATCCGGAGAACGGATCGCCGGATGCTGATAGAGGAGGTACAAAACATTCTTTGACTTAGCGAAAAGTTACAGTTTCACCGATCGTGCATCCCGGAAAGTACTCATCTTGAAGCGATATTCGTTGCGACTTTCGATTTCAGAGGGTCGTAGTCGAGGCGGCCCTACGAATCAGCATCAGGAGCAATCGCACCGGTCGCCACCCGAGGAGCGAGAGGAGAGCCGCGCGTCGGAAAGCGAGAAGCGTGGTAGTCGGCATCACGACAATATAGCCCAGTTGCAGCAGCAGGAGTCATCGCAGACGGCCGTCGGGAATATTAGCACGCTTGTAGTGAGACTGCGCGGTCACAAGCGGAAAATCCACGATGACGATAGCAGCTCTAACGAAGAGGAGGAGGACGAGGAGGAGGCGACGGCGGTTAAGGAGTCGAACAGCGAGAGGGCGACTCGGACCCTCAGCCCTAGCGCGACGTCCACGCACTCGATCTCGACGACTGAGCAGACCCTCTGCTCGACTAGCCCAAAGTCCCGTCGCACTGACAGCGGCAGGATTGACAATGGGGCCGAGAATACCTCGGGGACTTCGGTAAAGGATCTGGAGCAGGCTATGTCGAAGCATCTGCCGGGTAGCTCATTGAACAAATCGAATTCACCGGCGACTCTCCACCATCAACCGACGGACTTTAGTACGGACGCATTGCTGAAGCAGCAGCAGCAACGTAGCACAATACAATGGATCGGCGCGCATCATCACCTGGGCCACCTGAGTCCGCAGCAAACAGCGGCAGCGGCGGCGGCTGCTGCGCCCTTACCTGCCTCCGCGCTTCTTAGGCAGCTCTACGCGGCCAATCGGGAAAGCGTGATACGCGCTAATGTGCATGGAATCACGTCAAGCGGCGGTACGCGGACGCCCGTGTCGACCGGTATCTATTATCCTGGCGAGACAGCTCCTAACGGACCGCTGCCTACACCGCCGGGCTCCGAAGGCTCCAGTACGTACGGTGAACACCAATTCGTACTCGCCGCGCACAATCAAAAGGGATCCAACGGTACCAGTTGCGCCGACGCTTTCACCAGTCTTGTTTCGTCGTATACGTCCGCCACCGCTGGCTACCCGGTGGACTATCATTCGGCGATGACGCCACCGTCATCGGTCTCGCCACGGGACAAACAACAACAGCAGCAGCAACAGCAACAACAGCAGCAGCAACAGCAGCAGCAGTTACATTCCGTGAACGTGATAAACAGCTATGAGAGCTCGTCAGCGTATACGGATCCAGTTCTTCGTCACCAATACGAACCGGCCCAGCCGTTACCTTTGAAACCCCAGGTGTACTCGGCCACTGTTCATCCGAGTGCCTTAGACGCCGCAGCGGCGTATGCCTCGGCGGGCCTGACGGAGCAGCCGCAATTCTACCATCATCCGGCTGGTAGCGCCGGCTTCCACATCTATCATCCGGGCAACAAGTCGACGGCAAACGGCTGGTACACCTCGGCGTCCTAGTGGCCCCACTCGTAGATTGTACCGCCCGTTACGCGGAACGCGTGTACTTAAGCGACTGTAATTAAACCCAAAGTCCTCTCCCTCAGTGCATATCAGTGATACGCTATCTCGTCGCTATCGCGGTCGTCGGCGAGCGATCCTCGTTTCGTCGTTCGGGACCGGGAGAAGGCTCAATCTCTCGCCGATCCTTTCTCTCGACCCCGCGCCGCGCGTCCCGATGCGTCGACCGCGCTGTAACAATCGCTCTCTTCTCCATTATGTGTAGAACGATTTATTGTAATATAATGAATAAATTATTATATATATGTTGACTTCTCTCGGAGGTATCTGCGTATATAAAGCATGAAGCCAACCGAAACTCATGCGTATTCACCGTGCGTGTTCGAAGTAATTTGACGCGACGCTCAAGGAGATCGCAATATGTTAAGGGATTCGCGATTTATTATATACATGATATATAGGGTGTCCCATTTTAAATGATGTATGCGAATATCTTCGTAATTATTGATAATATTGAAAAATGTTTTAGATTAATATAAAAACTATATCGATTAATGCATACAAAAGTAGTTCCATTAAAAATTTTATTTTTTCAATATTATTTTCAGTCAAGAAACTTAACATCAGATTATGTCTTCCTCAAAACTATACAATTTTTGTCTAAAACATTTTCAATAGCACCAATAATTTCAAGGATATTCGTATGAGTCATTTAAAATGTATGGGGAACAAACTGTATATCGTTAGACAACGAGGAAATAATTTCGTCTTTTCGCGCCGGGTTAGATATTATTAATCGAGCGCAATTAATCACTGCTCGAGTGCGGTGCTTGGAATATGTTGTATCGTAATATTTCTTTGTGCGGATGATTCCCTTCATCAAAGGCGAACCGGTACAAAATCCTTACACGCTTTAACGTTTCGATTTAATTCTGTAAGAGAAAACACTGACGAAATTTATCTCGGTATAATACAAAGCGTGTTTGAAGAAAGCACTACATATATACTTGAGAGAAATCGCTATCTCTATCGATTTGCGCGGACTGTTTTCAAATCAATTGAACATTTAATTTGTTACTTAAATTTTGTTAGAAGTAGTACAATTGATCTGTCCCAAAGAATTCGTTGTTGCAAACTTATTGTTTTAAATTTCAATATACAATTTCTGAGAAAGTTACAAACGACTTTTCGGATCGACTTCTCGGACTTGATATTCTATGTATGACTAGTTGCGTGGCCGCAATTCGCATTTTAATTATATCTAGTTTTGACGATCGTGTGGGATAGAAAATCGCAAATGCCAGTCAACGCAAAACTGGCACATACGTGAGAGAATAAAACACGAAATTTATATATGGTTGCGTTATAATTATGATATATGTTGGAAACACCATAGAGCAATTTGGAACATGAGTGATATTAAAAATAGACACTTTTTATTAAAATACGCACTGAGATTCTTTACTTATTAAGGACAAGAGACATTTGTATGTATATTTATAGAGAGATTGCTCTAGCTATATTACCTTCTCTAGGTATAGATTAGAGAGACAAGTGTTAAATATCGAAGGGACACGTATCGCGTAAACGCGAGATAAGAATCAACATTGCGCTCTGGAGGTAGCGAATTCTTTTACGAAGGTTATTGTATTTTAATGTTTAAATTTCGACGAGTTGTTTTTGACAAGTACACGTGTAAATACAGCTTACGTGCCTAAAATTTCACTCATCCAGCATTACTCAATTTTTATTCCGTAGGCTTTCGCCGATTTAGAACTTTGTACGAAATATATTCGTAAGATTATAAGCGAGGATTTTTACAGCACACAACTGGTAATATACATGGATACAGCAGCGTTCGACAAGACGAATCTGTGTGTAAATCTGCCATAAGTAATTAGGCATCATTAATAATGTTCAATGTGGGTAAGTAATATCGAAGCTGAATATTTATAGTTGGAGAATCATTCAGCATAAATTGCCGATATATCATTTCTTTTAACAAATTTATAAATTTTCTTTTAAAACTTAAATGCGCATTTAAAAATATATTTAAAAAACGCAAAGAAAATACAGAACGTCATAGCTGATTTATTTTAATCGATTTCATTCTCTTTTATACGGTTATATAAAAAAAGATATATTGTGTTATTGAGATTATTGTTCTTTTCAAAGCCTGAGTATCATATAGCGATATGTTCGTACAGAAATATGTTGAATGCATCTTTGTTGCTTTCGTGCCTGTTGAGCAATCGTTGTACAAGAGATATCGATTTAATAGCAAAAAATAAGACGAGTATGCTGTTTGTATAAAAATGACTTATGTACACTTTCATGGTGTATTACATTAGCAATGCTTAGTATATATATAATTATTATTATATTATATTATCATTATTGTTTTTTGTTTTTATTATTTAACTATTATAATTACTATCTCCTTAGAGCTATGTTAATTTTAAATTACTACAGTTTTTGCAGATCTATATATAAAAAAAGTAAAATATAATCTGTAAAATATAATCATATAAACGAGTGAAAAAATAAAATAACTCTAAAAAAAAAGTGTTAAACGCACTTTGGACGGTAGACATTACAACTAATACTGTGAACTGTTATGAGAAAAAAGAAAGAACAAAATATATATATTTATTTATATAAATGTAAGTAATCTACCTTTATAGAATAGAGACAACTTTGTACATGTAGAATCTACTTATGTTACATAGAACTCTCTTTTATGCCCGATCATAAAAACGTATATAAATTGGAATGTGTAAGGTATACACATTCCAAAATTTATTATAGAGTCAATTGAAATTCCTCTCTTTTTCTCATTGGCACGTAACGCAAGAAAATTGTTCATTTCCTATCCGTAATAATTTTTTGAAAGGTAATTGGTGAGAAAAGAAATCGATGAAATTTCGACAGTCATATTACATCGTAAAGAATTGCAAGAAATGCGTAAAGAAACAATATAAAATGATACTAATGATCTTATGAACGCCGCATAATGAGACAGAATCCTTGAAAGTTGGCCATAATTCAGATTTAATTCTACGAAGCTTAATTTTAATATAAGTTATCTTTTCTATTACTAAATGTATACAAAGTAATACACGTAAAGCATAACACAATTTGTATTAATTATTACAAAAATTATATTGGTGATAGCGGCAAATTTTTCTTTGGTGTTTATTAAATCCCTTTATGGGACGAACAGTGTTCCGCTGTCTTATAGAGGGACATCGCATCAAACATAAAATAATCTATGATAGATTATCTATATTTTAAATAAAAATAACAGTAAGTTATTTCTACGAACACACTATAATTAATATATAGCTCATCAAAACTATAATTGAATTTAATTAAGTTGTTACGAATCTTACGGTGGAATTCATAAACATTTATTTTTCTAAGTTGGCCAGCTCTTTTTTGGTTTCTGTCTGGCTATGATGCGCACAATGGGGTATGTCTCTGATACAAAATTATAAAACGTGAATAGAGATAACAGTTGAACAGAGCAAAAGAGTCATTACCCTTATCGAAATGTTTATGTATAATATTTTAGATTAAGTTAATGTGTACTTCTTTCCAGCACTTACATATTTAATGTGTGATGCATTTCAGCACATTTCAGATGAACCATTCTTTCTTCTTCTGGACTTGATGACCAGTGGCAGAATGTACAACTGCTGAATCCGGATCCAGGGCTATCTCAGCACCTTTGTCCTCTTGTGTCAAGTATTCGCCTTTATGTCTAGACATATATCTACCTATGAGGATTGCCATAATCACGAGCGCGATCAGAATAACTGCTAGTACGCTTCCTAAAATAGCTGTGTCAGTCTCGTTGTACGCGGCTCTCACTTTTTCCTCGTCCACTTGTGGCGGCGGCCGCGTCTCGAGGACATACGGCGGATGCGTGATCGGCTCGACTCCGCAAAAATCTTCGGTCAATGGAGTACCGAGCGAGCGTACGTTGATGGGTCCATTCTCTTGGAAGAGTAGCTTTAACGGATATATATCATCGAATTCGACTCTCGATATGCAACCCGCAAATCCCTCCGTCATAGACTCGTTTTTGCCGATATACATGTATTGGATATTGTTGAATTGCGCGTCCGCGGAATCCTTTATGTTAAAATTGAATTCTCTCGGTTCGTAATTGTCAACCTGCATTATCAGAGTCGCGCCTGAATTTTTCCGGCCGATCCTGATATCGTGATACTGTCCTAAACCGAAATGCTTGTATGGAAATATGACCTCTTGCCGCTCGAAACCAAAGTCAAATACCACGCGTAAATGTCCGCTGTTTGAAATAATTATAGTCATATACTCTCCCGAAATGTTGGAAAAGAGACCAAGTAAAAATCCTTTTGGATTTGTCGTCGTGAAACCAACGCGTATTTTCTCAGCGATAGTGGAACGCCAGCTGCCCATGAAGTCGTATTTTATCATCGAACTGGGTCGCATGTTCACACCAATTTCTGAAAATAAACAAACAAGATTAATAGATCATCTAATATAGATTTAATTCTGTACTCAAGTATCTTTTGTACTTACCGTCCGCACAGATAGATCCTTTAAACGCGGTCCATCGACAGTCGCACCAATATCCATCATATTTTTCATGGCATGTGCCATTATTGAGGCAAGGATTACTCTCGCATCTACCCGTACAACCTTCGGTAACGCCGTACAATCCGCGCCGGGCATAACTTCTCAAATCCTGCAATTGGCCGTTGAGAAGCAGTGCTCTTATGCAACCGACAAATCCGTCTCTGTAATCAGTGGCGGCTCCCACCACAAGGTCCGAGGTGAGATGAAGCGCTCGCACAGGACCTGGTGGCTCTCGCACTTCGTTTTTTAGTGCTCCGTCGATGACAATTCGGGCTTCCTTTCGATTTCTTTCCACCGATACGGAATGCCATTGATTATCGGCCAGCCTGTAAGATGTTTGCACGCTCACAGTGAGCGGCCCGCCGCCAGCCACATACTGGAAATGTATCTGGTTTCCAGTGTTTATGGAAACCTTAATGTAATCGGTGGGTCCTTTGCTGTGAATTATCACAGCGTCTTCGATAGTGGTTTTGAACTCAAAGTAAATATCGCCACTGTGCCCAATATCAAATGTTGGTAGATTGATGGTAGCATCCACGACGCGAAATGTGACTACATTCTTAAATAAGTCTGCAATGTAAGATAACGACGGAGAGATACGTTATATTCATGCCATTGAAAATTAATTTAATAATGAATTTTATCGGTATTCATTATACTCTATATATCTATTGTGAAATGGAAAAAGATAGTTGATAAACTTACCGTCGCCCTCGCAAATAAGTGGGCCTAACGTATAACGACCCTCTTTTTCGTCGAGCGGTGTACCCGTATCGCCGAAACGTAATTGTTTAACGGGAAGATATTCTTTTTCTGAAATATCGCCACCATCTTCCAACCATCCTTCCAATCCAGCATCGCAGTTGCACCACTTGGTAGGATCCGCACAATTCCCAAGTATACCACACTCGCATTTTCGCGATCCAGGCAATGCACCGCCCCAATAATCCATCTTTTGATTATTCCGACTCACCCACCACGAGTTCGGTCTAAAGTAATCACCCTGAGAAACTGAAAATGTAATCCCAAAAGTTAATACAAATATAAATGGAGATACAATACGCGAGATATTTAAATATATAAGTACCTGGGGAGTTAAATAGCTTGGAATGTTTGCATCCATAATTTATCCTTTGCCTGCAACTTATAGATCGGTTTAATAAAGCTTCTATTTGATCGATATCAGCATCATAATTAATATCCTGTATAAAACTGCCAGGCTCCTCGAATCCATCGACGGGAGTTAAAAATTCGTTACTATGACGTAAAACTGTCATAACGCGGTCATTGGTGAAGAATTCGCAAGTGACAGGAAATGGCTTCAAAGGTCCGCTTCCATCCACATCGATTTTAATTTCTGCACGTTGATTTACCGCATTCATATTCTTATATGCCTCGCACGATAAAGGATTTAATGCTGTGTAGAATTATAATATCAACTTTAGTAAAAAGATATCTTACATTACACATTATCGAAACGGATACTTACAGGTGTGACAAACGGCGCCCACGTATCCAGTATTGGCACAATCGCAAAAGAATTCGTCAGAATTTTGACGACAAACACCAGAGTGCTTGCAAGGATTGGGATTACAACGATCTACCATTTGACAAGTGTCGAAAATGACCTCGTTCTTACAACAGTACTCTTCCTCCTTCCAGTCAGTCGGCAATTTATAATTCCCGTCGATACTTATCATCCTCATACAACCAATGAAACCATTATTGCTCCCGGCGCCGGTCATACCGCCGATCAAATAAAACGATCCAGTCAACATATCGAGAAGACGCTCCGTTTTCATTGGCCGCCCATCGACATTTAAGATGAGAGAATTTTTCGCTATTGTCAAGATTACTTGATGCCATCTTCCATCGTTGAATTTTTCGTAGAAGTTATCCAGAATCGCAAATGGGTTATCCTTTGTCTTTATGTCGACCTTCAATTTACCCTCTTCCAGGTATAGCTGCGCAACAAAAATAAATTTAATTGCATTTACTAATTCAACTTCGTTTTAGGATTAATGAAGATGAAGACAACCTTAACATAGCCCGGAGTCGTAAATCGATGGTAAAGAATTATT